AACGTAAAAACAGGACAAACAAAGGTCATAGCGTCGTAGTGGCGTCAAACATCGCGTGGGATTCGACAAACGCGAAAGTATTTCGGGGACATTTCCATGCTTAATAATGTGCTGTCCACATTTGATGATAGGCAATTTCGATTAAGTGAGGGTATTCGGAAGCAATATTGCTCTGTCGAAGATCGGCCGGTCGGTGTGAGCTACGAAATAAAGAAATTCGAGTTCAAAATCAAATCGTTCGATTTTTGCGGCAGACGTTCGACGCGCGTCTTTCATGCATCTCGCGAGATCTCGCAATTGTACGGAAAATCACCTATTGATCAGACACTCACCAATGCATGTTCGTCCATTACCCTTGAATCCCTTGTTGCATTTGCAATTAAAACTCCCTCTTGTGTTCATACATTGTGCATTTTCATCGCAGTCATTCAACTCGCTGTTGGCACACTCGTCAATGTCTGAGAGAAAAAAATAGAAATAATTAAAATCTCATGATTGTATCTCGCAACTTCTCGCACAATATAAAAGTTCTCGCAAATTCTCGCGTAATGTAATACTAGTAGTTCTAACACAATATAACAGTTATCGCAAATTTTCGCACATTGTGACGGTTCTCGCACGATATAAAAGTTCTCGCAAATTCTCGCGTAATGTAATAGTTCTCGCACAATATAACAGTTATCACAAAATCTCGCACATTGTGATGGTTCTCGCACGATATAAAAGTTATCGCAAATTCTCGCGTAATGTCATAGTTCTCGCACAACATAACAGTTATCGCAAATTCTCGCACATTGTGACGGTTCTCGCACGATATAAACGTTCTCGCAAATTCTCGCACATTGTGATGGTTCTCTCACGATATAAAAGTTATCGCAAATTCTCGCGTAATGTCATAGTTCTCGCACAATATAACAGCTATCGCAAAATCTGGCACATTATGATGGTTCTCGCACAGTATAAAAGTTATCGCAAAATCTCGCGTAATGTAATACCAGTAGTTCTAACACAATATAACTGTTATCGCAAAATCTCGCACATTGTGATGGTTCTCGCACAATATAAAAGTTCTCGCAAATTCTCGCGTAATGTAATGGTTCTCGCACAATATAACTGTTATCGCAAAATCTCGCACATCATTGTGATGGTTCAAGTTCTCTCACGATATAAAAGTTCTTGCAAATTCTCGCGTAATGTAATAGTTATCGCACAACATAACAGTTATCGCAAAATCTCGCACATTGTGATGGTTCTTCGCACGTATAAAAGTTCTCGCA